ACTGATGGGAAACCTTAATTCAAAGGTAGGGAAGAAGCAGGCTGGAGACCAGGCAGTGGGAGATTATGGCATCGGCACTAGGAATGCCAGAGGAGAGTTACTAGTAGAATTCGCAGAACGTAATAATTTACGGATTTTCAATACCTTCTACTGAAAACGAGGAAACCATAAGTGGACATGGAGGAGCCCTAATGGCAAAAATAAGAACAAAATAGACTTTATAATGAGTGCACACCCAGGCATCGTGCAGGATGTGGAAGTGCTTGGCAAGGTACGATGCAGTTACCATAGAATGGTTCGGTCTCGAATTCACCTAGACTTGAAGAAGGAATGACAGAAACTGATACACAAGAAGCCAATCAATGAGCTAGCACTGAGAGGGAAAGTAGAGGAATTCAGAGTCTCACTTCAGAACAGGTACTCGGCTCTTATCGAGGAAACCAACCTTAGCGTTGATGCAATGAATGATAATCTGATGAGTATCATTACGGAGTGTGCAATGGAAGTTGGAGGTATGGTACTTAGACAGAACACTGGCAAGCTGTCCCAGAAGACGAAGAACCTCATTAAAGTGCGTCAAAGCATGAAAGTCTCAAGTACAAGAAACAAAATAGAACTGACAGAGCTTTCAAAGTTGATTAATAGGCGTAAGGTATGCGATGTAAGAAGGTATAACATGGAGAGAATTGAACACGCTCTGAAAAACGGAGGAAGCGTCAAAGCAGTGAAGAGGAAACTTGGAATAGGCAAAACTCGGATGTATGCACTAAGGGACAAAGAAGGCAAAATAACTACCAATATGGATAGGATAGTTAAAATAGCGGAAAAGTTTTACAGAGATCTGTACAGTAGCCGGGACAACCACGACTTTAATACTATAACAACTAGCAGTAACCCAGATGACACCCCACCAGTAATGATAGAAGAAGTCAGAAAAGCTTTGGAGAGCATGCAAAGAGGCAAAGCTGCTGGTGAGGATCAGGTAACATCAGATCTGCTGAAAGATGGAGGAGAGATTGTGTTAGAAAAACTAGCCACCCTGTTTACGAGGTGTCTCTTGACGAGAAGAGTACCAGAATCTTGGAAGGATGCTAACATCATCTTAATACATTAAAAAGGAGATGCAGGACTGATAGTTGGGCTCGTTGGTGATACATTATGGGCACTACCAGCGCACAAACTCACGGGACAAGGAGAAGAGACACAAACAAACGCTGACTCTCAACTGAAGAATTTATTGAAATATACAATGGATGCAAGCCCTTGCTCAATAAAATGACAGTGCTCTTCAAACATAGCGATCAGATCACAAGAGAACTAGTGGAAGCACTCTATATCAAAAAAGAAGGGGAATCCTGTGTCAGTCAGACATCAATATCTTTACATGAAAAAGAAGAAATCTTAATTAGTAGTATGTTTGTTTGAATGGAATATGCCGCGCCTGCGCAGTTACCTGTAGCACAAAATTGTTAATGACATCTACACGATCCTTCGCTGGCCCTCTGCGCATGTTCTGTGCTTTTTATGTTATGTGTTTAGATAACTTGTATATTTAAATAAATTCTTCATTTGAGAGTCAGCGCTTGTTTGTGTCTTTTCTCTTCGTCCCGTGAGTTTGTGCGCTGGTACTGCCCATAAAGGAAGGAGATGACAAGGACTTGAAGAATTACAGGCCGATCGGCTTGCTCTCCGTAGTATACACGCTATTTACAAAGGTAATTGCTAACAGAGTTAAGAAAACATTAGGATTCAATCAACCAAAGAAACAAGCAGGATTTCGAACAGGCTACTCAACAATCGACCACATTCATACTGTCAATCAGGTACTAGAGAAATGCTCAGAATATAGCCAACCACTATAGCCTTCATAGATAACGAGAAGGCATTTAATTTAGTAGAAATATTAGCAGTCATGCTGACACTGTGGAATCAGGGCGTCGATGAAGTGTATATAAACAACCTGGAAAAAATCTACAAGGGATCAACTGCTACCATATTACTTCATAAAGAAAGCAACAAAATACCAATAAAGAACGGTGTAAGGCAGGGGGATACAATCTCCCCACTGCTATTTACCGCGTGCTTACAGGAGATTTTCAGAGGCCTAGAATGGGAACAGTTAAGAATGAATAAGAGTTGATGGATAGTACTTTAGTAACCTGCGTTTTGCCGATGGCATTGCATTGCTGAGTAACTCAGGATTACGAAATTTGACAAGGAGAGCAGGAAGGTGGGTCTTAAAATTAATCTGCAGAAAACGAAAGTAATGTACAGGCACTGCGTGTTCTTCCTCTTTTCTGACATCGGCACTGAACTACGATAGATTTTGTTAGTTTCAAGGCTGTGGAACCTTGATTGATTTGATTGATTTGTGGGGCTTAACGTCCCAAAACCACGATATGATTATGAGAGACGCCGTAGTGGAGGGCTCCGGAAATTTTGACCACCTGGGGTTCTTTAACGTGCACCCAAATCTGAGCACACGGGCCTACAACATTTCCGCCTCCATCGGAAATGCAGCCGCCGCAGCCGGGATTCGAACCCGCGCCCTGCGGGTCAGCAGCCGAGTACCTTAGCCACTAGACTACCGCGGCGGGGCAGGCTGTGGAACCTTTCAGCTTCAATAATGAGTAAATAATACAAAAGCAACTGCATGTTCTGCGGGCTCCAATGCTCAAACCACACCGTGAAAGGCGTCATGAGCATGCTTGGTTTTCTTTTTGGCTGGCGATGAAAGAAGCCGTGGGCTATCAAACTGCACATCGTCAAAATCATGCCAATAACAATGTGGTTCCCAGGGTGCACTTGAAGCGGACTGACTTCTGGGACGCAACAAAATTGCTCAGGTTTCCTTTACGAAAGCCGCGATATGGTGAGTAACCACACGCCGTAGTACGGACTTCAAGATTAATTTTGACCATTTGGGGCTTCTTAAAGTGCTTTTAAATTCAATCACGTGGTTGTTTTTATTTTGCATTTAGCCCTAATAGGGCTGAATTCCGGAGCGGTGGAATTTCGATAACCTATTGAAATTCCACCGCCTTGGCCCGCAATTGAGCCCGTGCCACCAAACTCAGCACCCCTGCGTGGCGAGTAGTCCTGAGACACAACAGGCAAGTGCCTTCTTTTTCCTTAGGGGGGGGAAGGGGGGGGGGAGGGGCTATAGTAACACGCTAAATACAACTATGCTTTTGCAAGTGTAAAAGACTTAACAGCTCGCCGCAACCACAGAATTAGATAAAATTAACTAGAGAGGACACTGGTACTGTGACCGTTCAGCGACCATGGGAATTATGGGTATGACATGGATTTGCCTAGTTTTCGTTCTCACGGGCGGCAAACGAACTTGGGGTTTCGTTTATTGCTGTGTTTTGGTTTTGTTGGGAAGAAAAGAACCAACCGTTTTTCACTTCGTGACCCGATCTGAAGTGGTAAGCCTAAAATGTCAATATTTCGAAGCGTAACTCCCGCACATTTGCCGATTTTTGTTTCATGACAAAGCAGCTTCAAGCCATGCGAAGCCAGAGCGAACGTAAAGTACAAAGACTAGGCAAATCCATATCATAGCCATAATGCCCATGCTCGCTGAAGCGTTACGTGTTGTAGCTTCCATAGACACTTGCGCAAGATTGATTGATTTGTGGGGTTTAACGTCCCAAAACCACCATATGATTATGAGAGACGCCATAGTGGAGGGCTCCGGAAATATAAACCACCTGGGGTTCTTTAATGTGCACTGAAATCTGAGCACATGGGCCTACAACATTTCCGCCTCCATCGGAAATGCAGTCGCAGCAGCCGGGATTCGAACCCGCGACCTGCGGGTCAGCCACTTGCGCTAGAGTTCCATCTAGTGTGTATTCAGGAAACTAACTCTATGGCCGCAGCTGACACATGCGAGCCGCAATTGGAAAGAAACCGCCACTGTCCACGTTCGAGCGCAAGCCTGTCTAGGGTGCCCATATTTTAGCAACGTGATTGATATATCAAGTCTTAAGCCTGCATCAAGAAACGCAAGCAGTTTTTCCAACAACATCAATACGAAGATCGAAGCAAAGTAAGCCAGTTCGGCGAGATGGCCTGCAGTGTCACATGTTTATTTATGAAATGCCCAAGCATCGTGGTTCCCGATCTCGCTCATAGCTTGCAAGCTGACACTTTTGAATAAGTGGCACACTGGAGCACCAGTTTATAGGATTACGCATTACTTTATGTAATGAAACAATTGTAGCCCATCTTTGCTGGTATGAAATCAGTAAATGAAACCGGCACCCTCGGTCAGAATGACTAAAGTGATAAAGGCGCAACGTCATGTGTCTCCCGTGCTGTTTACCATTGTCGATATACGGCTGCGTGATCGCCGCACCGAGCAGATGACGAAAATCTGCAGAGTTTGACGCACGCTGAATGCCCGATCCGGAAGCGCAATGCGATGGAACGACTCTGAACCGGCTGCTGCACGAGCATGTCAGACGTCAAATACCGCGAAAGATCCCACCCCGTGTTCCACACTTTATGCACTCTAGCATGAGCTGCTTCCTTCATGGGAATTTTAAATGCTATGGAAAGTTATCCCAGCCGAAATCGGCGGCAACCATGCAGTGACAATACCTGTTACGAAGACTCCACGCATGCAGGGGATCACCCCACTGACGACCACGACCATTTTGGTTTTATTGTGACACCCCCTGTAGTCACTGAAAGTTGCGAATAGCATTTTTTCGGGACAGTGCAACTTAACTTCACGGTGGAATTACAAACGGTCAATGTACACTTGGATAGGTGCAGTCGCAGTTGGCTTAGAACCCCTTCAATGCAGAAAAGCAACCTATACAAGAGGTTAGGTGCAGACTGTCAAACCTATGCGGTCAAAATTTCCATTAAATTAAAATTTCAATCGAAGCAAATCTGAATGTGTTATTATTGGTTAAAATATTGAATGTGCTTGAATATTTCCACAAGCCTAAAAAAGAACAATTAAAGAAAAGACCATAACTCACTTTAGCTGCTCACTGCCAGAACTTGCAGAAGACTCATCCAATGAACGTCCACTGTTTTCTACAGAGCCAGCCAGCTCGGCGAAATAATTCGCTTGGTCCCCACACTGTTCATCTGCAGCTTTGTACTGTTCTTCCCGCTCTTCAACATCACCTGATGAGTTCAGACTAGGGGCCGCATCACTCTGCTCTGCCCAAGATAATGAGTCAATACTGTTTTCAGAGGAACAAATTCTGCTGGAACTGTTTGACAATGGCCCAAAATTAATGCCATCTCGATCCCAGTCTTTAACAATAGCATTGCAACAGCCTCGATCCCAGTCACCAACAACAGCCATTGGCAAGGTGCCAGCAGTCGCAGCACTGTCTCTGGTAAAAAAGTTGGGCAACAAGGAAGATGAAAATTCAGTACAACCGTGATCAAGGGCATTGATGAGCATGTTATCCACTACAGTCTCTTCCACAGAATCGTCGTCGGGTACATTCAAGATGCTGTGCAAAGTGTTGTCAGCAATGTCATCTTTAACATGTTCTTTGGTCACAGCTACCACATCAACTGCAGAGGAAGTCCAAGGCACAATGCGCCCAGTCACTTTGGAAGAGTTGTCAAAAGAGACGTCACAACTGTTGTCCCCGGTCTTTTGGGTGGCAAGATAATTAACCCTGATGAAACTTTTTGGAGTGTCACTGAAGGCACGAGAAATTAAGCGTCCATCAACACAGTCCCATTTACCTGGTAAGGTCGACGCTTGTTGAACTCCAAAACACAACTCAGGCACTGTTGGCTCAGCAAATAGAGGAGATCCTTTTGGGCATTCACTGTTACCTTCCAGTGCATAAAAGTTGAAACTTCTGCAAGAAGGCACGGCTTCCTGTTCCTTTCCTGAATGCACAGGCACAGAGTAACTTTGTAGTTGAACATCACCAATTCGGTGACTACTTTCGTCAGCACTGTCACCTGTCAGTCGTGGGCTAAGGCTAAGATCGTCCATATCACTATCAGCTTTGACAAAAGTTTTTGACATTTTGAGCACTTTTGTTTTGCAGATTCGTTCTTCTGCCCTTCTGGCACATGCGTATTGCTCGCTGCTGCCAGGGATCAAATGCGCTCCTGCCTTAGCATGGGAGTTGCAGGGTTGAACAATCTTGACAGCTGCTCCATTCAAGCAGTCACTACCGTCTTGGTGAAGTCCTTTCAGAACCAGCTGGGCCAGGGACGGACTGTGGACAACAAATGATCGCGATCGGCACAGGGACGGCACCGACACTTTCGTTGGGAAGCACACGTCTCTGCCTGGCAGTGAGAGTGATGCAGTCACCATAGTCGTTGGCTTAGCTGGCGTTACCTGTGTCGTCCCAGACACCATCGCTGGTGTTTCAGGCAACATTGGCATCGTCGTTACCGTCTCTCGTGTTTCGAGTGACATTGGCATCGTTACCATCACTGGTGTTTCAAGTGACATTGGTGTCGTTGTTACCATCACTGGTGTTTCAGGTGACATTGGCATCGTTGTAACTGCTGTGCTTGATGTCTCCTGTGTTATCACTGTGCTCGTCACAGGCATTGTTGCCGGAATCATGACCGATGTTCCCATCGCTTCCATCGTCACTGGTGTTTTAGGCGATGTTACCATCATCACTGTCGGTGTTGTGGGTGATGTCACCAGCATTGTCGCTGGCACACTATTCGCTGGTTCCTCAGGTGTTGTAGCCGGGGTCACTCGCTTTGTTGCTGGTGGTGCCGTTCGTCTCACTGAGGGTGTTGTAGGAGCTGACTGCACATCCTGCCTAAGTGTAGGTGTCAGAGGCGTTGCCAGTGTTGTCTCTGTCGATGTTTCACGCACCTCTGCACCTGCTTCCTGAATGGCTGGCACTGTATCTTTTTCCATGAATGACTTGTTCGTGTCTTTTAGATAACCTGCATAATACAACAAGTGACCTCAATGAAATAATAGATGCAGGGTTGCATTCAAAAGTAGTAAGCATGTCAAACCGAATAGTAGGCGAAGCGTACAATAAAAAAAAAGAAAATGGGCATTTCGTCTTAGCAAAGTCATACACGCCACACCGTTTGGCTCCTGAGAAGCAATCAAGCCACACTTCTGTGGCATTGGTAAAAATTAATACAAGAGTCCAACACGAGGCACTTAGTGATATAGTGCAAGGATTGACAGCTCTAAGACAGGGACAAAAGCGCTCACAACATGAGCACTATGTGTGACCACCTAGCTTGATTCAACCAAAGCAATTCATCACTTCAAGCATTACAGTACCAACAAGCATCATTATCTGTCATAAATATAGTATTACCTTTTCCCCTGACCTTTTGTACAACCATAACAACACGTTCACAGTAATAGCTGGCGCTTGCATATGTGCATCATGGTATATCAACAGGTTCAAAAGCAATAAGAAGGACGAAGCACCCAATCTCGGTCACACACACGCAGACATTTATTAAAGGCTCAACCAACTTGCGTTATACACAATTGACTACAACATTTGCGTTATTTGCATTAAGCAGATATGTGTCGATATGTATAAATTCACTTCATAGTTCATATAAGGAAGGCAAAGTCAGGTTCAGACATCAACAGTTAGTACCAGCCGGGAAAACCAGGAGCATCCCAGACGCAATGCTTTGAAGCCGTATTTCCATGTTCCACTGGTAGGTAGTCTCGTAATCAGGTGGCGTGTCACGAACGATTGCCATTGGTGCACTATAAGATGACTGACGTCCAGGTACACTGCCCAAAAACTTCCGTCAACAATTTAGAGCCCCAGGCTCAAAGGCATTGGCAGGAGCCAGGGTTTCATGGCCGCAAGGTTGCTTCTTCTGCCGATCTCTGCGTCTCCCCTACACGCTACTGCTGCACTCCTCTTTTTTTTTTTTTTTTCTAGGATTCTTGCGCCACGAAAATTCCTCCAGCTCTTTTCTTCTTTTCTTTCGAATGTCTGCATTGCGTTAGCTCAACACCTCCGTTGTCTTTCTCGTCCTTACTTCCCCAGTGTCCTTACACGCAACACATTACAATGTGTTTGAGACTGTACAAACATATTCACAAAAGTATGCATGTCCAAAGATGTTCACAAGATCACTGAAAACCTCAGCACAGGTGACTATACAGCGGATGAGATTCGAAACAGCGCAAGTGTGCGCACTAGAGCACTCGACGGGCCCCAATTTCTCAGCCCGGGCCCGCTTCATGAAGCCCAAGAGCAGCCTGGGCCCATGGTTCCAAGCCCAGACCCGGCCTGAGCCTAGGTGTACATGACTGGGCCCATCCCAGGCCCCTGGTTCCAAGATCGAGCGCGGCCGTTCATTACTAAACTTATATAGGGCGCACGTGTTCACGACCAGGCCTGGCTCAGACCCACTACATGATATTAGTTCTTGATAATGATCATTAATGATGTCTTGCACTTTGTAGCGGGTGATCTGATGGAAAATCCGGAGTGTAAATGCACCAAAATGTTGCTTTGTCTGCGGTAGTAGCTCAGCAGCTAAGCTTTTTTGCTGTTAAGTCGTAGGACACAAGTGTGCTTCCCGCGGTCATGGCGGCAGCATTTTGATGGGGGTGAAATGAAAGAACATCCGTGCACTTATCTTTAGTTGCCCATTAAAGAACTTCAGGTGGTCGAAATTTTTCCGGTCCACACTACGACATGCCTCATTATGCCTCGCCACCAAGGAATATAAGTGAAATGTTGCCTACATAGCACTATGATGATTATGACAAGCGCACCATAGGGGTAAAATCGGAGCGTGAAATCGACTGGAAGAAGAGAAGAAAAAAAACTGGTGCAGGGAGCGTGCACAGCTGGGTTCGAGAGTGGTTGGGGCTTTCGACACCGTGTCTTGGGCGCTCGCCCTGGTCAAACATGACCTGGGCGCCAGCGAGACATCAGGGTGCAGGACATCGACTTAAGCTCGAGCCAACGAGCTACACGAGAAGGCGTGTTTCCACCGTGGACGCTACCGCGACGGACTCGACGCCACGTTGCCCGGTGCTACGGTCACCCCAATGACAGTGCGCTTGAGTGTAGTCTTGAAAATTTGGTGGTGAGGGAGTGAAGTGCGTTGAGTGTTAAGACGTTAGACCTCCGTCTCACTAGGACAGGAACTTCCCCGTAGACACTCTTTAACTTTGTATCGTCCTGATGTTCGTTTCTGTGATATGCAATCTTCGTCAAATAAAATATTGTCTTTGTATTCATCAGGTTGTCTTGAGTGCATCCGACAACCTGGACCCGTCGAGTAAATCCTTTACTCACCACAAGCACATAGCAAGTCATTACAATAACAGTAATGTGAAAATAAAACTTAGCAAATTTATTTGAAAGAAGTGTACAGCTAACATTAAAAGTAGTAGCGAACTCGGGCATTTTTGTAAATTTTCTTTTCTACACTAACGTTGGAAGCATTATCTACACAATTTTATGAAGAGGCTCCTGATTAATAATTTGTAGAAGAAAGATAAAAAAATCTTAACGTTATATATGACAAACAACCACCAAAAGTAGATGAAATATAAATTATTCATATTCTAACACCATGCACAACATAATTCTACAATCAAGCTGCTGCACACCGTCCTTGTGCTATGCCTTATAAAAGGTGTCGCCCTTCTTCGTGAAACAAGGATAGAAAATGCACTTAAAATAACACCCAGAGACACAAAAAGACTGCACTGAAAATCATGCCACAGAAATAGGAGTGTGAAAATGCCAGCAAAAGACGAAAATATACATTTTCCAGTGCAAAAACAGAAAGTTGTCCAAACTCTCTGGCTCAAAGCACAGCCCCTGTCTTGGAGTACATACCCAACTGCACTAAAATTCTGAAAGCTGCTGGTGCTAGTATATGTGGGATACGAAGTACTTTTCTTACAAGAAGTGAAAGCCGACAGTATTTTCTACACTTGGCTTTCCACCATCCAAGCAGTTTCTCATGGTCCTCACTGTCCCTAAGGTAACTGTCAGCTACTGGTCTCTGCTCGTTTCTCCTTGTGGCAAACACAAATGTACACCAATCCACAATTCACATACTTTCCATTCACATTGCCATTTTGTAAAGCCATCCTATGGGCATTTTTACTTGAAGAAATGCTAGCGTCCTCGACTTTAGCTTGCATATTTCTGGTGAACCAGTTGAAGAAGCGGTAAGGTACTTTTTCAGTTTTGGATAGTACATCAACACAAGGGTCAGCATTACTACATTGTCCTCCACAAACATTTTCCCGCTGGCCTCCTTGAAGGGCTCCAAGAATTCGACGACCTCCGTCAACGTAGCCACAATGACGTCTTTAAAGAGTGGATTTGCCCTTGAATCTTGGAAGTTCTCGATTGCATCGTACTGACTTAGCACAAACTTGATCACGGCGAGCTTCGAATTCCACCAGCTTGACACAGAATGCCTTAGACCATGTAATGCATAACAAGTGCGTGTGCTTAATGGCTCGACTTTGGCCTTCTAATGAGCGAGCCTGAGTGCGGCCCGACCCCTAGACTCAATCACGGGTTCGCCTCAGGCCCGCACTTTCTAAAGCCCCTGAAACATCGTATAGTAGCAACGTATGTGGTTCAACGCGTGCCTCCTTTCTTTCCTCCTCCCTTCAAAATCTCCAAGGCTGGCACCGCGCTAGTATTGGCCAGATTCGGTCACGTGAAAACGCGCGCAGCGTTCGTTTGTTTACAGTCGCTCTCGAAGCACGGACTCGCTGTTGTACAGCGCATCTATTTAAACGTTGTCCTGTCGTGCACGCAGTGCTCTGAAATACTTTTCAACTAAGATTGACGTCGGAGTTGTTTGCGGTTGGCTGCTGTTGCGCTTTCTCATGCCAGAACAAGTATAGTGATGACCAAATGCTCTTCACCGGGATAACACCTGCTAAGCGCGACGAGTTGCGACATAAAATGTGGTTGCGCAGAATCCCAAGTGGGAACTTCAGGCCAACATTTTCAACTAAACTTTTCGAGCCTCACTATGAGTACGCATCAAGTTTTGCGTAATTTGATGCCTGTTCTAACGCTGTACACAGTTAATTGTGCTGTAGGCTACCATCTCTCCCTCAGCTTTCATTGACGCCTGTTCGGGGTTAGTTTTTTGCTCAATAAAACATGTATGTTTTCTGCTTGACATGGTGTGCCGACTGGTTTAATGCAGTGTGGGTTTGTGTGCTGCACGCAAAAGGACGATCGAAAATTTGATTGCAAGACCCAAGAGATTCTGCACTGGTGTTTTGAATAAACAAGACCAGAGTGTAAAAACTGACATTAAAACTGGTACTCTTCGTTGCTTTTCGTTCTGTACTTGTATATTTTGGAGCGAATTGCTTTCTCTGGCGCTTGTACTTTGATCGATCAGTTGGAGGAGTTGTGATACAAGGGCAGCTATGCAAAACATGCATGCCTTCGAGTCGTTGGTTGTTTGCATCGTTTAGGAACTGCAAATATACGCACCATTTCAGGCGATGGTTCACGTGCTATATTATGTAAAGGTTTATACAGTGGAACCCTAATTATTTGACCGTCAGGGGACCACGCAAAACCATCGTATAATCCGGGCACCATACAACAAAAAACAAATATTATAGGCAGTGACACTAAGCCTTGCCCAAAAAACGTGTACACTGTCGCGTAATTAAAACCCGAGCCCTAAACCAAGAACAACCATGTTTATTCTACTGCTCGTGCCCGAACTTCTTTCTTCTCTTCTACATCTCCCCCTTGTACTGCGCGTTCCAATCATCAGCAACACAGACCACCTAAATAAGCCCACGGCATAACCTTGTGCCTCTGCAAGGAATGTAGATTAAATTCTTCTTGCCAGTGGCAGCTAATTGCAGCATTACATAGTTAAGGGAGGTGCGAGCAAATCTTTATTCTCAACTTTAAAAAAATAAACCCAACGCGCAT